TCAAAGATCCGATCAGAAGCTGTTCACACCAGGAACCTCTCAAGAACAAGTCTCTCTCTCTCTCCCAACCTTTCTGTTCTGATTTCTGATCCAACAAACCGGCCAGGACCCTGTTCCAGCCTTTTATATCAAACCCTAGGCTCCGCTAAACCATCACACAAACCGTGCGATCAAACCCGACTTCRCGGTCRGATTAAAGATTTGCGWCGRTCGACGCAAGCCCCRTGCGTCGCTCGACGCACCACCAAAAAAAACACATTTTTGGTTCACGGACGTTACACAAAAGATGGAGATTAAAAACGTTTAGTAAGTAGTTCAGGGTTTTTTCAGTTTAATTCGTATAGTTCAAGGTTTTTTTGACCGTTTTCCCATTAAGAAATGCAAAGATTGTTGTTTTCAATTATTTCACGTGTGAACACATTTCTATACAAAATAATTTCAAATTTTATGTATATCCCAATAAATGTAGATGATTTTTTAATTAAAAAAATATTGATTTTACTCGCTAATCATATTATTATGCGTATAACGCAGATAATTATCTAGTATCATATTTTTTTTTTATGAATCTAGTATCATATTTAATTTGGAAAAATAGTATTCATAATTTTAATTCATTATTTCCAAAATAAGTTTTTTATTTGTTTTCTTTGTTATTTAAGTTACGGAATCTTACAAGAAATGCCTTTCGTTTCAAAAATTCTTTTAAAAAATATCATTTGTTGTTAAACTTCTAAAATATACCTTAACCACTAGTCGAAAAGACAATTTTGCCCCACCCATTTGTAAAGTCTCTCTCTCCCACATACACACATATCACTCCTCTCTCTCTTTTCGTGGTGTATGGTGGTAGACAGAGACGGAAACGGGACAAAGATAGAAGTTGTGGACAAAGACGGAGATGATAGTGAAGTTGTGGACAAAGACGGAGATGATAGTGAATGGTGGACATAGGCAGAGACGGGTGGTTATGGACAAAGATGAGATGGGAGTTGTGCACATCAACGACGGTGAATGGTGTTGTGGTGGTGGACAGCGACAGAGACTTGAATGTGTGGACGAAGAGATGGTGGTGGATGGTGGACAGAGACGAAGGTGGTGGACGAGATAGTGGGTGTTGATGGAACGTTGGTAGATGGTGGTGAACAGAGACGAAGACTATGATGTGTGCATAGAGACGGAGACAGTGGTGAATGGTAGAAAAGGATGGAGACGAAAAACAGTTGTCATGGAAGATGGTGGATGGTGGTGAAAAAAATAAAGAAGGTGATTATGAAAGAAAAAAGATAAAAAAAATATCTATCACTTTTATGAAAACACAAATAAAAAAATTATTAATAAATTCATAAAATATGAGTGATATAAAGTGGTTTTTGTGGCATATTAGAAAATAAATATGAAAAAATGGCATATTAGAAAATTAATTCTCTTTAGAAACGATTCTTTTTTTTCGCTTAGGCGAGCAACCAGAGGGTTTTGCTTCCTTCCTTTTTATTTTTCTTTATCTCTCTTGAGTGAAGACCTCAAATCCGGCTTAATTGCTACAGTATTTTAAAAATATATATCATCTACTTTCCCTTTCGTTTAAAGAAACTTTCTCCTTTTCATTACAAATTTTCCTTTCTTGCCAAATTTATGGTCACCAAGGTCAATTATTCCGATGATTTTTGCTGAATATTGCATAAGTGTGATTTTGCAACAATCGCTTCTGACCTAATACCCAAACTCATCTTCATCCACCGGGTTTCAGATGGCATAGAATTTCTACTCGGCAATCAGAGCTCTGAGATTAGAAGATGATGAACCAACTGAATTACCAAATAGCCCAAGATTCAGAGTTTTTGAGGAGAAGGCAATCAGTCTCCTAGGTCGTTTGCTCAATCCGGACGCTCAGGCCATGGCCAAAATGATTGAAGATGTGCCTCGAGTATGGCGTATGACAGATAGAATTAGAGGAATAGCTTTATCAAAGGACAAATTCCGGCTCATCTTTCGGAGGGACTTTTTGACGACCTTTCAAGTGTGGATTAGAATGAGAAATATACCAGTGAACCACTTCACATCGGAAACGATGGCTAAGGTGATTGGTGAGGTCAAATTAATTGCTTATGACCCAAAGGTATCTCATATGTTGAAGATCCGATGCTAAT